AATGTGGATTCCTGGGCACTAAATCCAACGATTCAGAGGAACCTGGGACCTCTGGTGTAAACAGTGTTGGAGAAAAGACAGAAAGGAGAGTCTGAATCCTTCTCAAAACCACACACAGCCTCCACTCATCATATGCAACAACATACCCCAAAGACCATTAGCTTCTAACAGCTTTCAATTTTCTACAGCACTTAGCATGATAGGCTTTAAATGTCATGTGAACAAAAATTATTTGCCAAATAAATACATTCCTTATACACTTGCAAAATTGTTCCTATCTGTGCTACACCTTACATGTGCACATAAACAAGAATCCTAATCTACATGGATTCTCAGGACCCCTGTCCCTACCAACACTCTCTCCAGTGTATGTCCAAGCCCCTCCCCAGCCTGCCTGTGCCAACCCTGTCATCACAAGTGTGACAAGAGAGAGTAACAGTTATCTAGGGTGACCACACTACTTCTCTGCTGGCCATGCCAGACCCCAGAATCTAGATGGGAGAGGTTAATCCCTTACACACATTCCTCAGAACCATTTGAGTATTGCTATAGGCAAGCATAAGGAGCTGTGATAGTGTAGTGGTTCTGAATTGGGCTGCTAACCTCACGGTCGGCAGTTCGAAACTACCAGCTGTTCCGCGGGAGAAAGATGAGGCATTCTGCTCCCGTAAAGATTTACAGCCTCGGAAACCCTGTACAGGGTCGCTATGAACCGGAACCGACTCCACAGTACATAACCACCACCACCAGCACAGGCCATATGGGGGAGTACTGTGCCTCTGCAGGATAAGCACTGGAGTGCTAACCACAAGGTTAGTGGTTGGAGCCCACCAGCCACTCCATGGGAGAAAGAGGAGGCTTTCTGTTCCCATAAAGGTTTACAACCTTGGAAGCTCTACACAAGGTCACTATGGAGTCCTGGTATGACACTGTAAGGTCCATGGTTCATGTCTACTAGCCGCTCCTTGGAAACCCTATACAGGATCACTATGAGTGGGAACTGACTCAGTGGCACTTAACATCATCATGAGTCAAAACTGACTGGACAGCACCTAACAACAACAACAACAACAGCAGCAGAAGCCACATGAACTGGTGACTCTTAGGGCTAAGATGGGATGAGATAAGGGCCGGCTACACCCAGAGATAACAGCCTTGGAGATGAGTTTTAGTATACACCCGCCTTTGTCAGCTCTGCCTCCTCACAAAGGGTAGGGCAGCAGGAAGCGAAGATCTCGGGGAGAGGAAATTGGTCCTGGGCTAAACATTAACCCTATGACAAACACAGGGAGCTGGGACCAAGTGGTACTCCCTGGCAGGGGACAGCAGGAGGGAGGGCAGAGGTGGAGGAACCCCCAGGAAAACAGCAGATGGATTTTGGTGGAGCAATGAACTCATCTAGGAAAAAGCCAGTAAGACCCTGAAAGGAAACCTTGGCCTTTCAACCCAAGTCCAGGTAGGGAGAAGTCAGATGAGTGGATCAGAGAATAGAAGGGAGAAGGGGAGAAGACTGAGCAGAGGAAGGAGACACACTGGAGGTGGGCTGGATGTGATGTAGATAGGCAGAGAAGAGAGTGGGGTCCCACTTGGAAAAGAGAGTAACTCTCAAGAAAGTTTAAGAAAAAATCTGGAAAAGTGAAGGCTGGACATGGGTGGGGGCAGGACTGGGAAGTCTATGCGAGATAATGGGTAAATACCAGAGGTGATATGAGCAGAGCTGGAGGAAGCAAGGTTAATTACGAGAACAAGATGCCAGCCTGCCACCAGGAGCTTCCCTTTCAGTGCCACACAGTCTTCGCTGCCCACCCTTCCTCCAACAGTACTCTATACCCATACCTACAATGCCTGCTTCTCTTGCTCTGAAATATATGACTGTCATACCTCCTGGGCCATCCCACTGCATCAGCACAACCCTTCCTTCCTGGCCATAAAGCTGGCATCCTCAACCTTGGGTGGGGTGGGGAGGGGTGGGCAGGGAGGTGCTGGGTGGGTCTCCTTTCCTATCAGAGACCTTGGTCCCCTCCCAAGCCTCTCTAATGAGCCTGAGGTTTTCTAGCACCTCTAGCACACCTACATTTGCTCTGTCTGTTCTGAATCTGGACACGTGGTTTCTAACTGTCCCAGGGTGAAGATTACAAACGCCTTATCTATATAAAAGGTTTCCAGTGCAATGACGAAACCTCAGCCATCAGAGAAGCTAGAGGGCTTACACTCTTGTCATTAGATTATAAACAAGGCATGAGCTGAGCTGAAAAGGGGAGAAAGCATATCCTTCCTTCAGGGCAGATCCCAACCAACACAGATGCAAAGGCAGAGCACAAAGCAGGCTGATGGCAAATGGAGAAAACCAATTCAAAGCAACAGGAGCAGTGCAGGGGCCTCCTGTGAAAAGGACAATGCTAATGCTGAGGGGGCAGTGCTAGGGGCGGGGGGGCCGGTCTCAGGTCTGCATCGTGTCTGGCTCTTGTGCTGAGGTACCCCAATGGTAGAATGCCCCTCACTGCCCAAGGCTTCCTACTCAGTGTCCCATAGTGTGCTCAATTTCAGCCTTCCAACGTCCACCTGCTATTTTCACCCCCAACCTGTGAGGTTATTCCATGCCCCAACCCTGAGTCAGGCACAAGTTTGCGGTCGAGCAGGGCTCAGGAAGCAGAGGCCAGACACAAGAAGCCACACAGGCAGGCCAAAAGAGGATTGCCCGTTGACTGTCCAGAAATCAAGGAGGGAAGCAGCAGGGGGAGGTTTGTTGATGGCCCCACGATTTCTATCATCACCAAGATTCTGGAAGAACCAAATGCGAGAGTGTGAGAACAAGATAGGAAGGGGATCACTCAATGCTGACTGGCAAAGAGGCCCTGGCACAAACACCCGAGAGAGTTAATGATTTGTTCTGGGTGGAGTGTTAATACGTGTTTCCGTATTCATTCAGGTTGAGGGGTAATGAATGAAATGAGACAACTTAGGAAAAACAAAGACAAGAGGCAGGAAAAAATTGGGAGTGTGTTCTAGAAAATGATTTCATACAAGGTCATTGAGGATTAAATGAGGTCCGACTGGCTTGACCATCTCTCCAGCTGTCACAGGACCACAAGGAACATCTCTCACACACACACCAGTCTGCTCAGCAAGATCCCTGCTTTCTGGGTTCCATCTGGCAGCTGGTCCCTACTCTCCCTCAGCCAAAAGGCAGCACTTATTTCTAGCCTGTCCCTATGCTGAGTGCTCCAAATATGCCTTGGGCTAAGGGAGGAGAAATTAGACATGAAAAGCATGGGGGGAAGACAGAAAAGAAAAGCGGAGGAGAGAGAGAAAGAAAAGAAAATGCTAGTCAGGAGAATGGAAATTAGAGAAAGGAGAGGATAAATGAAAGGGAAGAAAAGCAAATGAAAAAAAATAATAAAAAGGAGAAGTTGGAGAGTAAAAGGTGAGGAAGAATACAAAGAAAAGAAAATGGGATGAAGCAGAGTGCAAAGGGGAAAGAGACGGAGAAATAGGAAGATGAGGAAGAGCTCAGCAACAGGGTAGAGCATAAAGATTCGAATTTGGGTATTTTAATTGACCAAGTGTTTTCTGTTTACCTCTTGTAGCTGCTTTATTTTTGCAATACTGGATCTAAAGGCAGGGATTGCTAGGTGAAGGGTGCTGAGTCCCAGAACAGCTTGGCCTTCCCATTCCTCCAGTAAGGAGCTTAGAAACCAGGGATATGGACTCTAAGCAGGGTGTGGAGGGGGAGGAGGTGGTGGTTTCTCTTCCAGTCCCTCCTACCGCGAACTTCTGCCTCCTTTGGTGCTGGGTGGGGCTAAGGCTATAGCCCAATCAGCAGCATCCAGGAGAGGTGTGTCCCAGAGCAGCCAAAGGCCTAACCAATACAGGCCTGACTTTGGAGATGCACTGGGTACCATGTGGAAAATACATACATGGGGATTTTTTGACCTAAGCTGCTACCCTCCCCCTTAAGCAGAGTGTCCTCCTCAATATCTGTCATCACAGTCAGCTTCTACCACACCATGGACATGTCCATGTCTCCTACTGAGATAGCACTCTGGTGGAGGAGGTGAAGGGGTGTTATTCAGAGTTAATCAGAATCAGATGTTGAGACCAGCAGGCTCAGAGAAGGTGAGAAGACTGTCCGAGGCCAGGCCATGGGTGCCAACCCTCAGAAGGACAAGTGCAGGGTGAAAGGGGAACAGTCAGCTGTCCTTTGTGGGGGGAGTCTGTATGATTGAGAGAATGTGGCCTTTACAGGGACAGCTCATTCTACATGTGGTTTCTGGGTATGGAAAAGCCGGTGGAAGCAGCCCCCATGGATAAGCTATGAAATGGTCCCATTTTCCTCATAGACACAATAGCAGTGGATATCTTCTAGAAGGAGCATGCCCTTGGTGAGATATTGAGAGGCTACCAACTGTTCCCTGGGAGGAAGTGAGGCTTTCTGCTCCCGTAAAGATTTACAGCCTTGGAAACCCTGTACAGGGTCGCTATGAGTCGGAATCGACTCCACGGCACATCACAACAACAACAACAAGGGGCAGAAGTCAAAATCCATTCATTAGTACAAACTATGAATGGGAGAAGATTCCGGGTTGCATTACATAAGAGGTTGAGGGAAGGAAGCTTTGGTCTTAGGTTCAGATCCAGAGCTGCCCCAGTCCCAGAATTCTGTCTGGGTTTGGAACACCCACACTTCCCTGATTGGTTTCCTCCTTTAGGGCTGGAGGTGCCTTAGGCGAGTGGGGAATGAGCTAGGCTGTCCCTCCTTGGTCTCCTGAATGAAATCATTCCTCTCCTAGACTGTCCTGAACTGGTATAGATGAGAACCATTTCATGTGAAATTTGGGGAGAGTGCTGGAAAGGGGGAAAGCCTTCTTCGTTGCTCCTTCAGTTTGCTCAAGCCCACAGGAGAGTCAAGTTGCCCTCCACATCATCTCATTCCCCTGCCCACCTCTACTCCCCCACCCAGGCCACACATCCCCAGCAAGAAGAGAAATAGGAATACTTACATTATACCAACTCTGGCTTTTCTGAAAGGACAAAATGAGAGAAGGTAAAATTAGTCAGGGCAGAGGTGGTGGGCTTTGGCCAGGGCATCCCCAGCCCAGAGGGAAGGTTACATTGACAGCAGAGGGCAGGTGGGGAGAAGGGGCCCAAGTGCAGCTGAATGCTTCCCAGGTTGCTGCTCAGGAGGGGGCCTCCTTTCTCCAAACAGCTCCCGAAAGGAGGCCCCGGAGCAATCCATGCTGGAAGCCCCACCGCAGTTGGGGTGACAGGCAACAGCAGCACCAGCCATAGCTTGACCGGAAGGGAGTCGGAGCCCCATCACAAGGTTCTGCTGATGGGGGTGAGGGATGTGCTGCTGACATCCAAGACCCAGTCCCAAAACGGGCTCTAACCAGAAGCAAAGTATAGGAAGAGACCACCCAGCCTTCTGCTCTAAGTCAGTGCCTTCGGGAGAAGGCAGGCTGGAACACTTGGATGGGAGAAGAAAAGAGGCCACCTAAAATCTCCAAGCTTGCTCTCCGTGAGCAAATCAGATAGTGGAGTAAATTCCATCGCCGATTCCAACAACTGGTTGACCCTTCCTATGTGATAATGGTGGGACAGTAATTGAGGACTCTGCACAGGGAAGGGTGTTGAAGCAGATAATCTAAAAAGGCCCTTTCTAACTCAAGACCAGAAAACCCAGACTCTAACCCAGCTCCAGAAGTCAAGTGTTCTTCATCCCAGCTCTGGGCACAGGTAATCATCTTCATGATAACCGGAAGTTTCTTAGGGACAGAATGTGTCTTTCGTTAGAAGTGCCTTTTCTATCTCCAATCCCTCGAGCTAGTAAGTTCTTTTTCATACAGTTCACTTAGAAGATAAACAGACATACACACACACATACACACACACATGCCTATGGTCCATCCAGAGGTACAGCTCTAATGGTTTTAGATGGAGATGATATTTTCATTTAAAAAGTTTGCCTCGTGTGTAATTAACATAGAGAATTACTGGCTAGAGGGAAACTTTGCCTGCTGGTCAACACCATAGGTACTGGTCTAGGGACGATTAGCAAACTTATCCTCTGTACCTGGTTCTAAGCCCTATTCCACCATCATCTGTAAGGGAAGAGAAGGGCAGTCCCTGCCCCAGATGCCTGTTGAGCATGTCTGGAAGGGTGGTAGTGACTGTGAACCCAAGGACAGCTGAGAACTGTTTCAGTCAGGACATGACGACTATGGTGGCCATGTGGTTGAGCTCTGACCTCCCCAAGTTCTCCTGATCTCTTCAAGAACTCCACAGAGATTTCTCTTCACTCTGAGAGTCCGCAGAGGAGCTGGAGGTGAGGAGTTAGTTGAGGGAGATAGATGTGGGAAGGAGCTGGTTCTGAGTGGGCTTTGTTTCATCACCACACTCAAGCTCGCTGGCCAGCCTACAGCCTTGGGATAGACAGACAGGTAGGTTCCTAACCCCTTCTGCAAAATGTCCTCCATGGCCATTTCTGAGCAGAGGTTGTCACCATGGCTCAGGAACTCACACACTTCCACAGCCTCAGCCTCTCCTCCAGTGCAGAAAAAGGACCCTATTCCGATATTCAAAACCAACTTTTTCATCATTGAGGGAGCTGTGGCCACATAGGGATACTGAACCCAGAAATGAAAATCAGTGTCCACAGCTTCTCAGCTAAGGCTTACTTACTTCTGAAGGAAAGCGGATGGAACACACAGGCTCCCTGCAGACTGTGGGACCTCCTCTCTCGTGGACCCTCACACAGAAGCCCTGACCCCATGTGCACAGCTGAGGTCACAGGGCAGGAGTCTGTGCTGACAGTCATTAAACCACATCTCCACATGGTGGAAAGGATGTGCTCTGAGTACGGCCAGCCTCAAACGCCCCACGTTTCCCCTGCACTCTGCCAAATCAAAGTCGCTTCACAGCTGAGCAAGTCTCTGGTTCACATTCTGTAACCTGTCACCCATGGTCCTGGCCTCAAAACACTCAAGCAGGAGATGGGGCAACCACAACCTGGCCTAGGTGGGGAGATCTGAAAGCCTTTATGACTACTCCTCAGAGGATTCTTCTACCACAGACAGCCCATTTTCTCTGTTCACACGCTGGCACATGAATGCTTGACCCTTATGAATCTGTTTGGGACAAAGAGCTTCAACCAGGGAGCCTTTACCCTATCTCTAACTAGCACTGTGATACCTTTGTGTGTAGTGTTTGCTCATTTGTAAAGGGGAATAAGAATACATGTTCAAAAGTGCTGAAAAGAAATGTGAAATGTACACTTCCAGAGCAAAGACTCTGGATTTGTCCTTTAGTCTGAGACTCTACCCCTAACACCAGCTATCTCTGGGCAGTTTCTTGGCACCACCAGGAAAAATGAGTTCTACCTCTAGGGTCAAATCCATTTATATCCTTTGGGAATGCCCACGATTGGCAGGTGCCCCTCAACTAAGCTGAGCCTCTTAGTAGCAGTGCTTTACGGGGACTGAGTCCGACAGAGGGACCTGTCAGGGAGAGTCCCTGCTTGGCAGGGAAGTCAGGGGGCTGCTGGCCACTAAGGGAGGAGAGGAGAGGCCTCCACTGGCTGGAGCATGAGGTTGCCTGCCCTTGTGAGTTAGTGGCACACCCACATTGCAGAGAGGGCTAGATGGCAGGCAGCGAGGAACAGAGATAGAAGGTGGAGATGATGGGTATTCTAATAGGTTATCAGTGGATTTGGTTGAAGAGGAAGGAGGGAGTCAGGAAAACCAGCTAAAAGACTTAACTGCTGGGCACTGGAATTGAACAAAAGACAATGCTATCGCCGTTCCTACACGGGGTTTGAAGAGCAAGCTCCTGAAAGAATGCCAGGCCCTGGAAAACAGACCATTTCCTTGAGGTGGTTTCCTGCCCCATACCACTCCCAATCTAAAACGTCTCCCCAGAGGGAAGGCTCAAGGAGTCTCCTAGGTGGTGGGTGGGAGCAGAGGACAGGGTGTGGGGACTAGATTAGGTTTGTGTTTACGAGGAGTCGGAAAAGAAACAACTTCTTACTTTGATTAGGTTAAGTCTGTCATACTGGAAAGAAAACCACAAAAATTAGAATCTAAAACAGGAAAAAAATCAAACGAAGGGGAAAAGGGGCGTCAGTGTCACATAGCCCGGGTGACAGCACACGCCCACTGGGTTCATACTACTGGGCATAAGCCAAGAGTGGGTGGTCTGGAGGCGCCAGTTCTATTTCAGGAGCTGCTGGGAGCAGGAAAGCAAGTCCCTTGCTCCCTCTAGTGGCTAACAGCCATCACTACAAAGCAGAAAGCAAAACCCAACTCAAAGGAATTGATTCTGACTTATAGCAACCCTATAGAGGGTTTCCAAAACTACATCTTTACAGGTCCAGACAACCTCATACTTCTCCCCTGGAGTGGCTGGTGGGTTTGAACTGTCAAACTTGCCATTAGCAGCTCAATGCCTAACCAGCAGAGCCACCAGGGTTTCTTACTGAGCAGAAGCTGGGGAGGAGATGGAGAAAGGTAAAAAACTCAAGGTGTCCTGGGATTAGTGTAAGTAAAACGTGTTTTGTCTTCTGGTCCCCTCCTCTGAGCAGGGCTAGACCAGGCAGGGGTCAGCCTCATCAGTCCTGGTATAAATTCAAAGGAGTGGGTCTCAGCGATCAGCTCATCCAAGCCTACATATTAGGAAATACAGTACGGAAAGCTGAGAGAAAGGAAGCAGATACTGTGTCTTGGTCCTGATGCTAGGGTTCTGCCAGCACACCTCAATTTCCTGAAACATGTATGTGAATGCCTCCTCCAGGCGGTGGGCAGGAGATGGGAGTGAGTGGTCTAGCTAAGACTATAGCTCTGGTTAAGAGAGCCCAGCCATGGACACATCTGCATCTGGCCTACCTGGGACAATACTCCACTGGTGGGGGGCAGTGTCCTCACCACGTTAACTGACCATACTCCTCACTTCCCCTCACCGCTACAGCTTCCTTCTCCACAAACTCTGCTCCAGGTCCCAACCTGCTCAGACTCTTATTCCCAGGTCTTGGGTTGTTCTTCTGAAGTCTGCGTGCCCTGCACGTTCATTTCCCAGACCCACCGTAGCTGCTGCCAGGTGGCACAGTCCCTGCATGCCAACAAGTCAGTCCAGTTTGCTCTGCATTCAGGATGGCAGTGTTGGGAGTCGTCAGTATGACTGGTAAGGGAATGGGGTGGAGAGCAGGTCTCCAAAGCTAGGGAAGTCAGAGTTTGTATGCACTGGGGGCAGGCCATGCCTCAACCTAATATCTTCAACCACCTCCTTAAAAAGGGGTCAAGACTAGTCTTCTATCCACACTTAGTCTTGGTCCCTTTAAAATTCTTCATCTTTGTCCAAAATCCAACACAGAGTTCCTGTCTGGCTCAGTGCCACCTGCTTGCTGAAACATTTCCCAGTTACCTCACTCCGAAATGACATCTCCTGCATCTGAAATCTCTTAGCATCCCAAACTACCCATGTGGTGCTGAAAGACAGATTTGGTTTATAGGTCATCTGGGCATTTTTCCGTATCGCCCTTCCTAGACTGCCTGGGGATAGCCACCTGGTCTTTGTATCACACCTATTCCCTGAAGATCTGCCATTTTAGAGGTTTAAAAAAAGAAAACAAAACCACCTCATGCCTGGGTACTCACTTCCACCCATCATCTGACCCAAAGAGGTGTAACTGATGAACATAAATACTGCTCTCCTCACTAAAAACTGAGGGGGTTCCTTAGCATGGGGCTAAGAGAATAAGAAAGCTTAGACGTTCACCTTAGGGTGGAAAATTATGCCAAGACCCTAAAGCGGAAACAGACCGAAGGAATGACGTGATTTTAAGTCAGGCAGTGTCTGCCTCCCAGTCCCCATATCAGCCACGCTGAAGGGTTCAGGAGGGACCGGCAATGGTCATCTCAAAACCTCTATCACCAGTCATGCCTGTGCCTTGGCACAGAGAATTCCTCTGGCTTCCTCACTTCAGGCAGAAAGTTCAACCCACTCAGTCATCCCAAATTCTCAGAGCCAAGATGTACTTTTAGCCTGAAGGTCACAGACTGAGGAATCAAGTCTGTAGCCTCTTCTTCTCGCCTCAAGAACGAGAACAGCTGTTCGCCCTCCTTGTCCTCCCCAAAATGCTCTAAGAGACTTGAGACTATTATTAAGTCTTCCCTCAGCTTTCTCTCCTTCACGCTACAGCCCACCCCCTTCCCCTGTAGGTATCATTTCCTGAGGCCCCCCTTTCTAAAATGCCTATTGCTCACCCTCCGCTCACTCCACGTTCTCCTCAGTCCTCTGAACTCACAGGACCCCTGGCTGACTTCAGCTCTGCCTCCCAGGCCTGGCAACATCTCTCCAGAACCTGGTAGGGATGACTGTCACCATTCACCAACCTCCAGGTGCTGGCCCCAGGTCCTCCAGTAGAAATGTTCCAGGCTCTGATTGTGAGCCAGAGTCCTAAGAACACCCTGCTTCTGCCCCCCTTGGCTGGATGGTGGGCAGCAGCAGTTAAGAGGGCATTCAAGCTGAGCCACTCCAAGAAGGTAGGTGGAAGAGTGTGTCAGGGAGAGCTCTTGAGGTCACTGCTATTGAATAAGTCACCTATTGGAACTCGTGACCCTTAATCAACTTGTCCTTCCTACTGGTACCCAATCACTATGATAGGGCTTCAAACGGTTCGTAGGAAAGTTCCATTATCTTTTAATTTCATTTTCTACAAACTTTTTGAAGCCCTCTTTTACTTTTGGGGACTCAGGATTCACCCACCAAGGGGAATTATCAGGGATACCTTTCCCCTAAAGAAATGAAACTAATCCCAGGTAGGACTCTGCTTCTAGACAGCTCCATGTAAGGAGGGAATACATTTAAAACAAAACAAAACAAAAAACAGTCACAATCCCTGACCACAGGCAGTGTTGGGAAGCAGGCAAAGACATCTCGGGAGGTGGAAGGCAGGATGGGTCTGTTCTCCAACTTCCGGTGCAGTAGGAATGGTCCCTCATGACATCACACCAAACGGCCAGTGTGGCAGTGGGGCTGGCCCTTCTGGGAAAGGGGCCAAGCAAGACATATGGGCAAGAATTGGGAGGGGGCGGAGGGAAGGGGATGCTGAGCACTACAGACAAGTCAATACTAGAGGGGAGAAACAAAGACAGAGACAAAAGATGGCTTACTTTTGAGAGGCGCTTGTGATACTAAGACCATGCATGCAAAGAAAGTATTTGGGGAAATGGTGGGGAAGAAGAGGGAGAAGAAGAGATCAAAAGGCAAGTTCAGGTGGAAAGCAGCAGCCCGTGCCTCCCAGGGGGTTCCCACCCCTTCTCAGAGCCTGTGAATCTGGGATGAAGAGAAATGTCTCTGGGAAAGACCTCTTTTATTCCCTAAAGGACTTGGGGCAGAAGAAAACCTCTGAGGAACCAATTAGCCCAGGGCTTTCTCGCCTCTCTCCACTGAGGCTTCTTTTAGGTGTATCCTTAGGTCAAAGGCCCTGGTGAGGCTGTAATGCTGACACTCTTGGGAGGGCTCAAGAGGCCCTTTCCCTGTCCTCTCCACCAGGTGAGTACCAAGTAAATTAGTACCAAAGTAAGGCAGGAAGGAGGTTAAAAATGGCATTTTGCAAAGTTCCCTGAACACTCCCTGCCTGGCAGGATAGTTGGCTCAAACAGCGTTCCGTTCCCGTCTATCCCAACCCCAGGAACCAAATTTGTTCAAGATTGCAGGAACAGACCACCTCTCATGATCCCCAGAGAAGCCTTCCTCCAGTTCTTGCTCCTAAACAGTCTTCAGAGGGCACACCAGTTGAGGATCCTTCTAGCCCATGGGTCTTTCTCTGAATGCTTAGCTGAGAAGGCATTTAAGCCAGGTTCTCCCCTGACTGCCCCACCTTCGCCAGGGTAAATATAGAGTATCTCTGGGAAACCCGGGCTGTTCAGACACATAAAGCCCTAGAAGAAGGTGCCCTCTACCTTATCTGCCTCTAATACCAGCTTCTCTGCAACAGTTAACAAGGAGGTAGAAGCCTTCATGGGGGCCGCCTCACCTTGGAATTCTTGCCACCGCTTCGGCCAGACTGCGAGGAGCAGCTGCGTTGCACACCCTGTTCCGGCGTCGATGGGGACTTGTCCGAGGAGTGATCTGAGCCCTTCTCCACCATGGCGTCTCCGTCCGGGTTCTGTGGGGTTGGAGAGCGAGACCGCTTCCGGAGGATGGGGGAGCAGGCCGGCGTGCTGCGGTTTGAGTTACTGGCAGTGCTGTAGAAGCAGATCAGAGAGGGAATAGGATGGAAATGGGAAAGAAGAAATACAGGTCATTAGTGACTGTAGGCCAAAGAAGGGACCAAGGAAGCCAGCTCTGGAGTCCTGGGCAAGGGTACTGGAGGGAAACAAGGATGGGAGGGACCCACCTATGAACTTGTCTGTACTGTAATACTGCTGTTGACCAGCAGAGGGCAGTGGTGCTAATGTGAAATAGGAATAAGAAGGGATGATAGGGCAATTAGACTTTAGTCATCTATCCACCCTTTTGTCCGTCCATCCAAATAGTGTTTGAGCACCTATTATATACCAGGAACTGCTTTGGGTACGCAGAATGTAAGACTAAAGGATTCACCCAATACTATTAGCTCATTTTATAGATGTTGCAAGTCCTAAGTTTCAACATTTTGTTTGGGGCATTTTTGTCCATAAAAATAGCAATGATTATCGTACCTTTCAGACTATTCACATGTATGTTCTTTCACTAGGCCCGTAAACAGTCCACCAAGGTAGTAAAAAGAAGTATCATAATCTGTATTTTTAAAATGAATACCAAGGCACAGCAGAGACAACAAGCTAAGTGTCCTGTGATCACAGAGGGCTTAGAAACGAAACTTAGATCACTTGACTTGAATCTCACCCACATCAGGTGCTAGTGTAAACTGTATTAGTTTCTGTTTCCCCTGCCTGGGAATACAGTAGAGATTATACCATTCCATATGTTTTTGTTTGTTGTTAAATGCCATCGAATTTGTTCCAACTCATAGTGACCCTGAATAGGATTTTAAATCTTTGTGGAAGCAGAAAGTCTCATCTTTCTCTTGCTGAGAGAAACCCTGAGTGTGGTTCAATTCTAATACGTATTTGTTTTAGTTTGAGACACTGGATTAAGGGGAGCGTGAGTTATGAGGAAAGAGAAGCACATGGGTGGGGGAATGAAAACCCAAGTTCCCACCTATTAAATAATCAGAGAATAGGTCCAGGCTGAGGGAATATTCTAGATCTAAGGTTCTAAGGTTCATAAGGAGTCCTGGTGTGGCACTGTGGGTTAATGCAACAGACTGCAAAGCTGTTTGAACTGCATGGTTGGCAGTTCAAGCTCACCAGCTGCTCCTCGGAAACCCTATACAGAATCAACTTGACGGCACGTAATAAAACAATAAGGTTCGTAAAGACCCTAGGAAGTACTCTTGGAAAGCTTCATCCCAGCCTTCCCAGAGGGAGGGAATGACAGGATAGGGAATGCTGTCATTTGCATGAAGATCCAGCTGCAACCTCAGATATCCCATTGGACCCATTTGCAATGAAAATCATGTTCCTTTCAGCAAAACCTACCATCTGGACACAGGGGGAGGGGGAAGAACCAAGCACAAACTCCCAAATCAGCAAGTGTGGGGACAAGGAAGTGAGTTGCTGGGTGGTAGGGTGGTGTGGGGGTGGTGGGTGTGGTAATGTTGTATGGTTTGGAAGGAAACATATGAAGGGAAAAGAAAGGAGACCAGAAAAGAAGAAAAATGTGACCAAAGGATGTACGGAGAAAAAAAAAAGTTGCCATTGAGTCAGTTCCGATTCATGAAAATCCGGTGCGTCATTGGCTGATTTTTCAGAGGGCGATCGCCAGGTGCCTCTGGGTGGACTTGAACTACCAGCCTGTCAGTTAACAGTCAAGCATGTTAACCCTTCCTATCACCTAGGGATTCCATGGAGAAGAGTAAGGCCCAGTGCTTTGTTTCATCCTATGGCAGAAGTTACATTTAGAATCTCATTTGCAATACTTTCAGTAACTGTGATGTTGTTGTTGTTGTGTGTTGTCATGTCAGTTCTGACTCACACCAACCCGGTACAGGGTTTCCAATAAGCGGCTGGTAAGTTTGAACCACTGATCTTGAGGTCAAGCGCTTACCCTTCTTGGGTACCACACCAGGACTTCAACTGTGGTGTAGGGAAGCTTACTTAACATGTCTCTTTCAAAAGGGGCTCTTCAATTTTTTACCCTATCCCCTGCCATCCCTCTTCCTCTCTAAACCCATACCTGTCCCTAAGGTGGAGGAGCTGAGCCTCAGGAAGCACCTTGATATCAGACTCAGGAGGCTCACCTTTCTGTGGTAGCCTCCTCTCTCTTGGGTCAATTCCAGACCAAGGCCAAGTATTCCAAAGTCTAAGTTGTCTGTAAAGATAACTTTGCTGGAAGAGCAGACCTGATCCTAACCTCAACCAGATCGCCCCAAAAAAGTACAAGAATGTAAATGGCAACTCAAGCACGTGCCAGCTCAGGCAAACTGAAACCACGGTTTTGCCCCTTCACCTTCAGATAAGGGATAGCTTCATACATCCAGACTGGAATGGAAAAGAGATCCCATTATCTTTCTCCAAACTCTGAATCCCTGGTGATAACTGGCTATTAAAAAGAGGTTCAGGCAAAAATCTCTAACCTGGAGGAAACGCATTCCAACTATCCCCAAACAGCATGTGTATCATACAAAGTGATCAAAAGGCCCATGCAATTTCCTCATCTCCTGTGGTCTCATTTATATGGTGGTGGTGGCTGTGTGCCGCGGAATAGGTTCCGACTCATAGCGACCCTGTACAGAGGCTGTAAATCTTTACGGGAGCAGAAAGCCTCATCTTTCTCCCGCAAAACAGCTGGTAGTTTCGAACTGCTGACCTTGCGGTTTGCAGCCTGATTCGTAACCACTACGCTACCAGAGCTCCTTTCTCATTTATATAGACCACCCTATATACATCACCCAAGGATCTGCTTACTGTATTTTACACAAATAACTGTTCATGTTTTTGTTTTGTTTTGTTTTTTTGCAAACCATGCAGTACTTTTCTGCATTAGTTTCCTATGTGTGGTGTGTGTGTTATATGTGTGTATGCCTTACTTAGGTGGGTGTGTTATTTGTGTAAAATTTCATAAATTTTACAATACCTAAAATTCTTCCAATATATCACAAATACCTAAAATTCTGCTTCCAATACATCACTCAGTATACTTCTACTGCTGACACTTCAACCCCTGTGTCTTGAGACCATTTATCTTCTTTCTTCTTGAAATGATCTCCCCCTTTGGCCTAAATGACACACCTGCCTTCTAGTTCTCCTCCCATCTCTGCCACCAGCTCCTCTCTGGCAACCAGACCTTAAATGTAGTTCTTCCCTTCCCTAGGTAACTTCAGCTACATCTGCAAGTATCAGGCTCCTGTTTACTGTGTCCATTCCTGACCACAATGGCGAGCTTCAGCCCAACAATCTGAGGCAGAGTGGACACTGCTGCCTGATGGATGTCTGTGCCCATCTGAGGTTCCAGACAGAGCTGCCTCTTTCCTCCCTAAGCTCCTCCCCTCAACTGCCACATTCTCAATCACATTATCCTGTGCTCTCTGTTAGGCTGCAAGCCAATCTCTTTCATCTCACTCCACAAAAATGAGTCACCAAAATCTCCTGAACTATTCTTCTTTCCATCCCCAGTTCAGGTTCTCAACGCCTTTTGCCTACACTCTTCTGATAGACTTTAAGGGGTCTTCTATTTCATACTCATTCATACCACTACAATTAAGTCATTCTAAACACAGCCCTTATCTTTCTGCTGCCCTCTCACACCCAAAGTCCAAAATCCTCAGCATACAATGCAAAGTTTGCAATGTTCTCTATGGAGCACAAGTGACACTTATCTATACTCCAATATTTGATCGTCCCTTATGCTCTCTCCAAGAGTTTCCATTCCATTACATATCCTTCCTGGTTTTCTAGATATGTATGCTCAGTCTCTTAGCCCTAGACTTCTGTATAACTCACTCTTTCCCTCTATATCTACCTACTAGGGTCTTACTCATCCTTCCAGGACCCATCCACGGCACTTAACGACAACAACAACAACAGGGTCTTACTCATCCTTCCAGGACCCATCCACGGCACTTAACGACAACAACAACAACAGGGTCTTACTCATCCTTCCAGGACCCATTTCACCTCCTCTTTAACTTTGCTAGACATCCATCTGACTGGAGCACTGAGCATCTTCCATCTGGTGTACAAAGCAAAGGCCTGCAAACTCCAGGAGGTTCACACCCTTTTACTTCCCACACGGTGCAGCACAGTGTCCAATAAATGCAGATCTAAATCCCATCATAGGGAGCATCTTCACACCCATGATGACATCAACAATTCCCAGTGGTACAACTGCTCTCAAATCGGTATCTCAAACCTGTTCATATCAATAAAAATAGCTAAAAGATAACACATTTTTATGAGCTCCTAACCACTGAGCCAGCATTTATTAAACATTACATGTGACTTATTCTTCCCAACCAACCTATAAAGAACAAATTGATATTATTGTCAATATCCCTTTTTTTTTTATTGTTTTGTACAGGTGATAAAACTTAATTCTTGACAGATCTAATAGCTCACCCATAGTCACACAGAGGGGTGTGTGTGTGTGGCAGAACAGGATTCAAAATGCAGGCCCATGTGATTATAGAGCTTGTTCTCAGAACCAAGGGATCAATAATTTGTGTTTGAGGGGAGGATGGACAGATGAATAGATGGACAGATAAATGGAAGGAAGGCCTGTGGGTAACTGAAAAGAAAGAAGGAAGGTCTCACTTCATGCCTCTAAGCTCCAATCCATTCTCTACTTTGCAGTCAAAATAAACATTCTATAAAGCAGACTTGACCTTTTTGACCACTGTTTCAGTCCTCTTATAGCTTCCTATCCCCTAAGAAAGGAGCCCTGGTGACACAGAGGTCAGCAGTTTGAGTCTACCATCACTCCAAGGAGAAAGATGAGACTTTCTGCTCTGCTAAAGACTTACAGCCTCAGAAACCCTATACAGAGTCGCTATGAGTCAGAACCGACTCGGTGGCACACAACCAACCCTCCCCTTAGAATATAATGTGAACTCCAAACTATGGCATACAAATTCCTTAATTTACCTCACTCCAGCCTACCTTTGAAAACCCCTCTGTGACTACTGCTTCCAGCATGTTTTCTA